ATGTTATTATTAATACGGAATTGACCAATCCATATTATATTCCTTTCAGCAACAAACACTGGGGGCTGGGTTACTCATATAACTAAGAAATGCAATATGATATGTAAGGCAAAGAGACATGTATACTGAGTGCTTGAGACCACTTTGACAAGTAAGGAACCTGCATTTCTAAGCGAGTTCTGATCAGTGTTGCAACTCTCTCACTAGGTATTATGGTTTTCAAATCTTCCCTTGTGTCAATAATATCAAGGAGCCTTTCCAAACAATCATCCATGAAAAACTATGAGGAAAATTTAAACATGTTACAATGAGTAACTACAACAGCTAGTTGTGCAACTAAAACCATAATAAACTTTATGACAATGGTATATAAATGCATGAAATTGTCCAAACATAATGTGACACTACCTCCATCTCATTTAGACTGAGATATGACTACATGAGGAAGTAGCATAATTATAAAAAGAAAGTAAAATTATGTTGTTGGTGTTGAATTTGAAAAGTATGGTATGAGACAAACATAGTGGGATAGACCAGAACGAAAGATGGGATGAAGATTGTATATTTGTATGATGGGGGAATAGTGCAAAAATAATACTACCTTGGACCCTTGTAGCTTTGACAAATTTCGTTTTTTGGTTGTCTCGAAAACTTTGACACTTTCTCTTTCATGTTATTAATTTGTGGTTCTTATTATTTCTACGCATCTGCGTGAACCTCAATCACGCAGTTTTTACTTTATTATTTCATATGCCAGTCAAACTTAACAATGTTATAAAGGACAAAGGGAGTATATGATAGGAGGCTTAACCTCAACTAGAGTAGCTTCTTTGGAAGGAAAAGATCCAACTAGTGAAGGAGAGACTCCAACCTCCCTTGCAACTGCAATCATGGCAGCTTCAGTCCGGCCCAGCCTAATCTGCATTGGAAGAATAATAAAGCCAACTATCTAAGGTGAAATTAGAAAAAGATTACTTCGGAATATGAATTAACATTAAAACAATTTAAACCAAAGAAGAAAAAGATGGAAACAATAATTCCAACGCTTGATTTACAAAATCTTCAATTAGGTAGAAGTGGGTACTTATATTTGTTGGGTATATCTGTGAGTTAATGGCAGAATAGGAGCATGAACAGAAAAAAAAAATTTACAGAAACAGAAACCGGAATTTGGTATTTCAATTAACAAATCATATTTTTTCCATATCCATGAATGATTTTTTCTTACTACTTGGTGTGTCAATACATAATAGTATAATACAGCTTTACCACCCCAATTTTCACCACAATAGGCGTGTTCCTTAAGAAATAATTTTGTCGGTCATCACCATGTTTTTTTGATGAACAAGGTGTGAGAAATAACAGTCTCTAATCCGAACATATATGATTAGAAATATGAACCCTAAAGCGGAAGCTAAATGAATCAAGCGTTTACCTCCGGCCATTGTTATCGGAAAATCGTCGGAGCTTTATCGGTGACTCGGAATGGCTTCGCCGGCGTCAAGGAACGTTGTTTTGCTCTTCTAAACCGAAATAACCTCGAACTAGATGGTGTGTGTTTATGAATGAGATTAAAAGGCTTAGGGACCAAAACAACTCTCTCTCAATTTATAAACCGGTTCCTTTCCATCAAAGAGAAACGGAAATGAGAGGCTTAATGTGTATTGATTCGTTGCTATAATTATGGTATTTGATAGACCATAAATGGAGAGATATATCATAACGTATTTACTTAATATATTCCATATACAATATACGGTAATCAGTATCCATATATTCTATATTCGTAATGTATATCTTACATTCTCCCACTTGGTCTATAAATTCAATATATGTCACAAGAAAATTAATATATAGATCATGGCGATAAGTCCTCTATAAATGAGTATTATCTTCCATGTATCATATATATTACTTTTCACAAATTACCCATCAAAATATAATGAATAAACCATATGTTTATTCTAGGTCCAAACATAATAAAATACTCCTCAAATCAATAATGATAATGAATGTGCACAAACCATATGAGAAATATTAAACTGAATACGAGTTTCATAAATGGAAATGTAGCGTACTATGAAAAATTACATTATGGAACCAAGTCCCATATTTTCCACATGATCCTTAAATTTCTTTGGTGGCATGCCTTTAGTCAAAGGATCGGCAATCATCAACTCAGTGCTAATGTGTTGGATGAGCACTTTTCCATCTTTAACACGTTCTCTTATGGCTAGATACTTGATGTCGATATGCTTACTTCGACTTCCACTTTTGTTATTCTTAGCCATAAAGACAGCAGCTGAGTTGTCACAGTACAACTTAATAGGCCTAGAAATAGAGTCTACAACTCTAAGTCCAGATATAAAACTCTTCAACCAAACACCATGTGATGTAGCTTCAAAACAAGATACGAACTCGGCCTCCATGGTGGAAGTAGTGACCAACGTCTGCTTCGTGCTTCTCCAAGATACAGCTCCGCCGGCTAGCATAAACATATATCCTGAAGTGGATCTTCTAGAATCTATGCAGCCTGCGTAGTCAGCATCAGAGTAACCAACCACCTCCAATTCATTGGTTCGTCTGAACATAAGCATGTAACCCTTTGTTCCTTGAAGGTATCTCATAACCTTCTTTGCAGCTTTCCAATGGTCAAGACCTGGGTTACTCTGATATCTACCCAATACTCCAACAACATATGCAATGTCAGGTCTGGTACAGACCTGAGCATACATAAGGCTTCCCACAGCGGAAGCATATGGAATATTCTTCATTTGATCCCGCTCAAGATCATTCTTTGGACATTGATCAAGACTGAATTTGTCACCCTTCACAACAGGTGCTATACTTGGCGAACAATCTTTCATCCGAAATCTCTCTAGAACTTTGTTGATATAGGTTTCTTGAGACAAACCCAAAATGCCTCGTGATCTTTCCCTATGGATCTTAATGCCAATGACATAAGATGCCTCACCCATATCTTTCATATCAAAGTTCTTAGACAGAAATTGTTTCACCTCGTACAACATTCCATTATCATTAGTCGCTAACAAAATATCATCCACATATAAAACAAGGAAACATATCTTACACCCACTGACCTTCTGGTATATACATTGATCCATGACATTCTCTTCGAAACCGAAAGAAGTTATAACATCATGAAATTTTAAATACCATTGGCGGGAGGCTTGTTTTAAACCGTAAATGGATTTATTAAGCTTGCAGACTAAATGCTCACCGTGACTAGAGGAGAATCCTTCTGGTTGTTTCATGTAAACCTCTTCTTCTAGATCTCCGTTAAGGAAGGCCGTTTTCACATCCATTTGATGTAGCTCGAAGTCAAAATGAGCTACTAATGCCATAATTGTGCGAAGTGAATCTTTCTTTGATACAGGCGAAAATGTATCAGTGTAATCAATTCCTTCTCTTTGAGTGAACCCTTTGGCTACAAGTCTTGCTTTATGTCTCTCGATGTTGCCTTGTGAGTCTTTCTTTGTTTTAAAGACCCATTTGCATCCGATGGCTTTTACACCATCAGGCAACTCGACAAGATCCCAGACTTGATTCTTTCCCATAGAGTTCATCTCCTCAATCATAGCCTCGTGTCATAAGTTAGATTCTTTAGAACTTACAGCTTGTGAAAACGTTTCAGGATCATTCTCGGCTCCAATGTTGCCGTCCATTTCTTGCAGATATACTTCATAATCACTAGGGATTGCTGAATTTCTAACTCTAGTAGATCTTCTTAATGGTGCTTCATCATGATCTTGATGATCTTGTTGTTCAACAGGTTGTTCAATAGCTTGTTCAACATGATCTTGATCAGCAACTTGATCTACAGGATCAGCATTATCAACTTGTGGAACTTCAATAGTTGGTTGTCGTACACACGATTGAGCTTGAGGAGTGTGTATGATAATCAATCTATCACTTGAACTAGAAGGTTCAGCTTCATTGTGATCCATTGCAGAGACCGAATCACGCAATGGGTCACTCCCTCTAATCAAGTCATTCTCAAGAAATTTTGCATTCCTTGATTCCACAATCCTAGTACTGTGAGATGGACAATAGAATCTATAACCTTTAGACTTCTCGGCATATCCAATGAAATACCCACTAATAGTCCTAGGGTCTAGTTTCTTTTCTTGTGGATTATAAATTCTCACTTCAGACGGGCGTCCCCAAATGCGTATATGTTGCAAACTGGGTTTCCAACCTTTGAATAACTCAAAAGGCGTTTTTAAAACAGCCTTGGTTGGAACTCGGTTTAATAGATACACAGCCGTCTTTAGTGCTTCAGTCCACAAGAATTGAGGAAGTTTTGTGGTACTCCTCATACTTCTCACCATGTCCATTAAAGTTCGGTTTCTTCTTTCTGATACACCATTTTGATCTGGAGTACCAGGCATCGTATATTGGGCAACAATCCCATGTTCTTGAAGAAACTTCGCAAATGGCCCAGGTGCTTGTCCATTCTCTGTATATCTACCATAATACTCACCACCCCTATCTGATCTCACTATCTTAATTTGTTTACCGCATTGTAACTCTACTTCAGCCTTGAAAACTTTAAAGGCATCTATAGCTTCATCCTTAGAACGAAGTAAATAGAGATACATATATCGTGAGAAATCATCTATGAAAGTGATAAAGTATTTTGGACTACTAGCATCCATGTCTGGACAACAAATGTCAGTATGTATGATTTCTAACAATTCAGTACTTCTCTTTGCACCCTTTTTAGACTTATTGGTTTGCTTTCCCTTAATGCAATCCACACAAGTCTCGAAGTCAGTAAAATCAAGAGTACTAAGTACCCCTTCATTCACCAACCTCTTGATTCTTAAAATGGAGATATGTCCCAATCTCCGGTGCCACAATAGAGAAGAATTCTCATTCATAATACAACGTTTCAACCCAGCAGTAACATTCAAAGAGTTATAAGTAGTATTATTTTGCAAAGTAACAGAATAAAGACCATCATGAGACAATGTACCATAACCAACAGTTTTAGATTTATTTAATAATGTAAAACCATCATCCAAAAAGTTAAAACCAAAACCAAAAGGTACAAGTCTCGAAACTGAAATTAAATTCCTTGAAAAACTAGGAACATAAAAGGTCTTTTCTAAATGCAAAATAAAACCAGTACTCAAAACCAAATTGCAAGAACCAACAGCCTCCACATGTGAGCTCATCTTCCCTCCTGAGAGGATATAGCACTCACTACCCACTGGCTTCCGTAGGTTTTGCATACCCTGCAAAGTATTTGAAACATGGATTGTAGAACCAGAGTCAATCCACCAAGTATTATGATCAACATCAGTTAGATTTGATTCATAACATACAAACGAAAATTGAATACCTTTCTTCTCAAGCCAATTCTGGAACTTAGAGCAGTCTTTCTTCATGTGTCCTTTCTTCTTGCAAAAGAAACACTTTGACTCTTTCTTAATGTCCGGTTTGACAGAGAGCTTGCCTTTGCCTTTGGCACGATCTTTCTTCTTCCTTTCGGAGAAAGTCAGATTCACTTTCTCACCCTCTTCCATAGCCAACCTATGCTCCTCTTGAACACACATGGTCATGAGTTCATTGATTGACCATTTATCCTTATGTGTGTTATAAGAAATCTTAAATGGACCATATTGTTGGGGCAGAGTGCACAGAATAAAGTGAACCAGAAAGGTTTCAGACATTTCAACTTCCAGTGTCTTTAATTGAGCCGCAATATCCCTCATACACATGATATGATCACGCATACCTCCTATTCCAGTGAGCTTCACGGATGAGAACTGCATGATAAGAGTACTAGCCAAAGCCTTATCTGAAGTGACAAATTGATCGTCTATTGCTTTCATTAAGAGACGAACATTGTCATATTCCTCAATTGAACCCCTAACCCCAGCAGATACTTTGGTCTTTATGAACATAACGCAGAGGCGATTAGATCGCTCCCACTTTTCATAAAGATCAACCTGATCAGGGGTGCTTTTCTCAGTGATTTTAGGGGGTTCAGGCTTCCTTATGGCATAATCAATATCCATCCATCCCAGCTGAAGGAGAACTCTTTCTTTCCAAACCTTAAAGTTGTCCCCTTTGAGTTCGGGGACATCGCACTTAACATCAGAGTAACTAACAGTTTGACTAGCTGCAATTTACAGAAATTAAACATGCTTATTAAAATATGTTTTGAAGAAAATAACTATATCATGATTTACCAATGCAAAACATGTTTTACTCAATGAATCTAGAGACATAAAACTTGCCTGTGGGCTAAAGTTCTAATTCAATTAGATTCACACGATTATGATGAAACTGTCAAACTATGTTCCTTTTCCCAATACCTGTGGGTTAATTAGGAAATATAATTTGATATTTTATCCTAATTAATCATACAAATATTACAAAATTCCTGTGGGTAAATTTCATAATATAACATATGGTTAACTACAATTATTATTTTAATGTGATTTTAATTCTAAATATACAACCTAGATTAATTAAAGATGTTGTGGCTACTCTCTAATTAATCAAGATCGTATTAATCACAAAATAATATAACTAAATAAATAATATTGTGCTAGTCATTAAATTGCTAAATGTTATATGCATATTACTAAATAATAATAATAATAAACAGGCATATAACTTCTTAATTATTCTAACACAATATAAATTTAAAAAAACTAAATATTTGCATGCAATATACTCAATAATGCAAAACAAAAGGAATAACATGCATTTACTTTATTTATTTATATATATCTGTATGCATGCAAAAGGTCTACACCATTGAGAATGCATAAAAACACAACACACGGTATATATAGCAAAAGTATATGCAATATATACTGTAATACGCTGTAATATATATAAAAAAAAAGCTACGTGTTTGCCATATATACGTATGTATGGAAAAACATAAACTCGTAGGAAAAACAGAGCATAACAAAACAAGGCAGAGATATAAGATGCTCTGATACCAAATGTGAGAAATAACAGTCTCTAATCCGAACATATATGATTAGAAACATGAACCCTAAAGCGGAAGCTAAATGAATCAAGCGTTTACCTCCGGCCATTGTTATCGGAAAATCGTCGGAGCTTTATCGGTGACTCGGAATGGCTTCGCCGGCGTCAAGGAACGTTGTTTTGCTCTTCTAAACCGAAATAACCTCGAACTAGATGGTGTGTGTTTATGAATGAGATTAAAAGGCTTAGGGACCAAAACAACTCTCTCTCAATTTATAAACCGGTTCCTTTCCATCAAAGAGAAACGGAAATGAGAGGCTTAATGTGTATTGATTCGTTGCTATAATTATGGTATTTGATAGACCATAAATGGAGAGATATATCATAACGTATTTACTTAATATATTCCATATACAATATACGGTAATTAGTATCCATATATTCTATATTCGTAATGTATATCTTACACAAGGCACCCGGTTCTACAATTAGCTAAATGAAATAAAGCATATAACCCGCCATTAGATCAGATGTTATTATTTAACAAAATTACATCTTTAAATGTGAAATCCGAACAACTCTTTTCAACTAAACCAGAATATTAAATGCCATGAGAGATTCGGACCACATAGGGGAGAGAGGTGGTGAGAACGCGAGACTGTTCGCCTTGATAGTGAGCTTTAGGAGACGGTGTTTTCATTCTGGAGCTCGATTTATCATTCTTTCCGTGGACTGGAGCTCCTATCTCCTCTTCCCTGGAAGACAACGCATTAGATGTCGATGAAGACGACAATGCAATGTGGGGGTGGCTAGGTCTTTGGTTCGGAATGTTCTCAGAAACAACGAAATTGAAAAAACGCGCCAGCTGGATTGCTCCTAAAGCTCGAGTGGAAGATAAGATTATTGGAGTGTTGCATCGGCACAATGCCGGGAACAACAGCCTTGCCGCCGTTCGATGCATTTGCTTAACCTTTACACAGCATTGTAGCAACTACAAATTTTATTTACGAAATCCAATACTGGTTCACCACGTGTCAAAGCTTTCCTCGTATAATATAGTGTAAACTTTTGAATATCAACTAATTGAGCACTTGTAATGAGCATTACGCCTCTTTTGTTGAGAATTTAGAATCTAGGAGTAATATTTAGGGGGTGGGCATGGTCCGATATGATCCAATATTTTACCGAACTCATACTCATACCATGATTATTGAAACGGTTCGGTTTGGTTCGGTCTTAGATCTACACCAGTAAACTCGTTTGATACGGTTCATTTTCAAACGGGACGGTACCATGTCATACCAATACCAAACAATGTCACTTTTTCCAAATGTTTAAGGAAAAATTAAAGTTTAGACATCCTTTAAAAATCCATACAATTTATCAATTTTCATATTTCATACGTAGTACTATCTCTGTCTCAAATTGATTTGCAAAGTCAACCCTTTTTTGATCTAACAGTTCTTTTTATTCACTTAATTAGGATATATCACTTTTCAATTATATTTAAATTAATTTGGCCTTTCAATAAAAAATACTTTGTATATTCTAATTTGGATTTTACAACTTTAAATAGATTTTAATGTGATTTGTAAGTATATAAATTTTAATTATTAAAAGTTATACTCCGTATTAATTATCATTGGGGAGGATTTATTAACATTAATTAACATTGGTTGACCAAAAAATGTTGACTTTGAAAATCAATTTGGGACGGATGAGTAATTAATAAATTTCAGATAAACTATAGTAGTACAAATTTATATAATTAAACCATACTTTGGTTCAATTCGGTACCAGTTCTCATTTTATGAAACCCGTCATGACATTGTTTGGAATCGGTACGGTCCCGTTCGGGACAAAAAATATTGAGATCCGTTTCAAAGCCCGTTTATCGGTCTGGTACCATACCGTTCCGGTTCGGTACCATGTCGATTCGTTATTTTTGCTCACCCCTACTAATACTGAACATCGTAATCCTTGCTTCGTGTCTTTAAATTCATTTACTTTTTCATATTTTTTCTCTTATAAACATTTTTAAAATTATATTTATAATAAACTCTTACAAATTTAATCATGTGAATCTAATTTAATATTTTATTTTTGAAATATGCATTGATATTAAAGTCATAAACTCTATTAGTTTAGCGTCAATATTTGCATTAAGCATCAAGTCTCCCCCTATTGAGTATAAAATTTTCAAAATTTATTGAGCATCGCTTAAGAGCCGGCCCTAGGGAGAAACCTTAGGCGACCATCTCTGACCTGCTCCAAGATCTGATCTTCTAGCTTTCTCTTCTTCAATCACCAAGAGTGTCGAAAGACGGTGATATGCTTTGAGCATTGAAGGATAAATCAAAGATTTTTCTATGTTCCCGCTCTTTTTTAATTTCTACTTTCAAGGGTTTTGATTCGACTTCTTCGTTGGTCGAGAGTTTTGTGAGCGTTTGGTATGTTATTTTTCTAGCAATGTTTAGAGGTTGTGTGTTTCTCATCGGTGTAATCGAACGAGTGAATTTTCATTACTCGTGATTGTCAAAGTTTTTTCAATCTTGTTGTTATTAATTCATACTCCGTAGTAGGGAGTACTTTTTATATACTCCTACTGTCCCATTAGAAAGTTCTCACTTTCCTTTTTTGGACGTTCTATATAAGGGTTCTCATTTCCATTTTAGAAAACAATTAATAATCTTAAGTGATAAATTAATCATTAAATATTAAAAATAATACGTAGTACATTTATAACATCACAGTTATCAATGTTCCCGTGAACAGTTTACGATATTTGACTGACGATAAAACAACTTAATCCCTGTTCACACTCTGATTAGTTTTAGTAAATAAAATTAATATATTCAGAAACTACATTAAAACCACTACAAAGGCTGATAAAAAAATGTAAATTTGATAAAAATTTGATTTATAAAGTAAACGATTAAAAATGATTTAAGTTGATCATGAAAATAGTGGACGGGAACCTTCTAATGAGACGAAGGTAGTACATTAAAATATATACATATTAATATAATTTCTAAAAATATACCCAAAGTACTTTTTTAATTATTGCTTAAATAATCGTTCCAACGGGACAAATATAGTATTTTATGCAACATAATGACATAATCAGTCCAACTTAAACATCATTCAAAAAGCGTTAAGTATGGCCTCTGCATTTCTCCTTCTTCCTTCGAGTGAACTCTTCCTCGCCTCTCTTCCCTATCGGCATCTCCAACTATACCACTGATTCCGACTACAACAGTTCACCTGCAATCTACCCGACACTTGTCTTCTTTCTCTTACACCTATCCACCCATCTGTCCATCTCCCCTTTTACGCCGTTGCATTTAATCATGTATTACTACTCTTCGAGTTCGGCTCCATAACTCATTGATGCGACCATCATAGATCACAACTTTACTCTGAAGAACACCCATTCCTCTTCTGTTTCAAAAACAATGTTGGAGAATCAGACGGGGCGTTCTCACCGCTTGATCCCCACCTTCTTTTCCACCCACAAGACTCTTCTCACCGTTCTATGGATCTTCGCCTTCTTCACCTTATTACTCTGGCAGAAGGATGCCGCAGATGGACTCTTCTCTTCCAGGAGATCTTTACCAGCTAGGGAACTGCCCAAGCTCCGCCCGGTAGCGTTTAATTTGACGGAGTTTGGAGGGGTTGGGGATGGGATTACTTTGAATACGGCGTCATTTGAGAGGGCTGTCACGGCTATCTCGAAACTTAGCAGGAATGGCGGCGGGCAGCTCAATGTGCCTCCTGGGGTTTGGCTAACGGGTCCTTTCAACCTCACCAGTCATATGACTCTCTTTCTTGCTCAGGATGCTGTCATTCTTGGCATTGATGTGAGTATGGCCATGTATTTATATATTTTTACATATATATATCTATGCCAAAGGTTTGAACTTTATCAGTTCAATCAAATGCTTCTTTAATTGGTGAAAGATTTAATTGGTTGTTAAAACTGTCATAGTACTTTAAATATTGACATATGACATGTATGTGAACCAGATATGTAGGCCTAGGTTTACACTATAACACAATTTTAAAGAATTACCCAAAACTGGAATAAAATATGGAGTATGAGTTATGCACACAGATAGTGCTATTCTTGCTTTCTACTAAAATAGGATTCATTCGATCTTAAAGAAAGAATAAAGTAGTTAGATTATGCTTTAGAAATTGCCCTAAATAGGAGTAAAAACGTTTTGAAATTCCAAAATAGGAGTATCATGTTTTTTATTCCTTGAATAGGAGTAATCTGCCAAGTTTGGAAAAAAATGTCATGTTTAAAAGCCTAGTAATGCCAAACTTGACAGAAATTTACTCCTATTTAGGGAATAAAAAAGATGATAGTCCTATTTTGGAATTTCAAAACTTTGTTACTCCTATTTAGGGAATTTACTCATTATGCTTTTCCTGGAATTGAATGAGTTCTAACTGAGGAAAAACAATGGCAGTCATATATCTGTATACACATGTTATGTTTTAGCAGTATTCTTTAATAGACAATGTGATGTTTAACCACCCTGCCAGGGTTCAGTTATTATCCAAATATGGAATTCCTTGTTCTGTATATTCACGGGTTCTAAATCTGATAATTGGGTAGTTAGAAAATAAAATAACTCAGAATAATGATACTAGTAACATTTTTTGGGCCATCTTAGATGGACTTATGTTCACATTCCACACTTTTTCTTTCAGTAGAGCTAAGACTATTTTTGGAACCCTGGAAATGCTGGGGAGAACAGAACGTCAAGGAAAGTTAATTTTTTATTTTAATGGACCTACAGCAGAAAATGCTAAGGAAACTGAAAAAAGAAATGATGTTTATTTTTTAAATGTGTTTGTATTTCTTAGTACTTCGGTATATCTAATATGAGTAAATAATAAATAAAATGAATTTGAGCAAAGATTAAGAATATATTTATCAAGTTCAAATCAATTTTTTTCCTTTACATTTATTTTCCCCTGCAAATCTCTCCAATCTCCCCCCCCCCCCCCCATTTCTTCTGCTAGCATTTTCCTTCTTCCAATCAGACCCTAAATAGAATCTGAGTTGTGTTGAGTTTAGCTTTTTGTTATTTCATTGAAGACATCTCTTGAGCAACAATTAGTGCGTATGAAAGTGGTGAAATCATATGATGTTTAACATCTTAGTTTGGCAAATTTACAACACATATTTGCACTCTCTATATGTTATGCTTACAAATTTGGATGGCTACACTTCAAATAAATGCTGTACTCCACTTTACAACTTAAAAAAATCTTTGTGGATTTTTTAACAAACTTTATTATGGTGCATTTAGGATGAAAAGCA